GGACACTGATGTGATCCGCCGGAGCGAAGTGTACACCACTGACTACATGCTTTTGCTGCGACACCTCCGGTGGTTTGGACATGTGCGCCGTATGGATGCAACGATAATTCCGAAGCAATTGCTGTACGGGCAACTGAGCGCAGGCGGCCGGAATGCATGCAAACCAAAGTTGCGCTATCAAGACAATATCAACGTTAGTTTGTCCAGGGTTAGTATTGACCTAATGGGTTGGGAGGAGATGGCAACGAGTCGCCGCACCTGGCGTGATCTCATCACGTGTACTGTTTCCCAAGCGCAAGAAAGACAGCTGGTGCATCGGAAAACTAAACGCGCAGCACGTAAAGATCATCTGCCGGCGGATTACAATTCTTCGGCTACTCCCACATGGAGCTGTAGTGCATGCAGCCGTGTGTACCTTAGCCCAGCCAGTCTGGCCAGTCACCAAGGAGGCCACGATGGGGCTATGCCGAACAGGCTGACTGTGAGACCGAGCACCACGGACTGCTATGTGGCGCTTGGTGGTACGCGACTGAGGACGGTGCACGTTAAATCGGCCAGTCATTATGGAGCGAGGGGAGTCAGAACGGAATCTCCGTTTGCTCGCAACTTTGGACCAGAGTACTTTTGCGCTGATACTGCACTAATTCATTGCACCGCAGCGACAACCACCGATAGTTTCTGCAAAGACGCAGGCGCTCTGTATTTACCCTACTGGCAATCCGAACACAGATGCCCACATACGAGTGCCCCTATGCTGAGGTTTGATGTTGCATATACCATGCTTCACTGCAGTTGGGCTACAATGGCTTACCTCATGTTACCATATTTTCCTGTGCCTTACCGTTATCATAGCCTCTAAACACTTTACAGTATGCAAAATCAACGCTTCCTCGCTTTGGTGGCGAATTTGCAATCTGATGGACATGTCCAAGTTTGACCATGCATTCAAAGATAAATCGGTTCGGAACATCCGTAGAAAGTGAACAGTCCCGGCAAGTAACTGACTAGCGATTAACTTGATGATGTTGATGTTGCGTGCTTTGTTTCACATTAAATCTGTTAGAATAGTTAGAGCTGTAATTCCCGTTCTTCATACACCAACCTTAACTTAGCTGGGCTTATGAAAATCAGTTGACTCCAGCGCACCATTTTCCTGCAAACCTGAATAATTGCCTACTAACTCTCCGTCATATTCTTTGAGTCTTTCTTATTCCATCGCTAATGTAAGTCTCGCTTGGCTATAGATGCTATCTAGAGTGATTAACTGCTGATTTGGTGCAATGCAGTTTCATTATTGCATCTGTATAAGAGATTTCTACCAGAAGTTGAATTAGACACGACCAATCTTCTGGGTAGACTAAGAAGAAGATAATGCCAACGGTAATGGTACGTCAGTGTCTTAGTATGCTACATCGGAAAGGAACCGGCACATAGCGACAATTGTTTATTTTAGGAGCACCGACTGGCTGCATCCGAGAAGTGCGATGTAGATCGTTACCAAATAGCTTATAGCCATGGCAGGAAACACAGCGGTAGGTACAAACGGTTGAGTACTTGGATGACAGCCATGCTGCGTCTTGGACATTTGCAAAACAGTGCGAACACTGTTTTGAAAGCCGCATGTTTGACAGTGGGCAGCGGGACTTATTTGATGTAGTACTGCGGTTGTTGTCGTGCCAACGAGGCTGTAAGCGACGAATATGTGATATTGCCACCTGTTAAAGCTTATGGTTACGCAAACAACGTTCTTTGAGAATTCGCACCTACCTCGGATAGCAGATAATCGGACCGATCAGGCAACACGGAGAACCTGAAGTTAACACCCCATCGCACTCGCACGCTGTGCGATCTCCCCCATCAGCTACGCAAACCAGACTGTGCATATAGGAGGCAGCACGTATGTGCACACTATTTTACGGTACCACTTGTTTACTAATCATTCTACCTCGTAAACGTACTGATCGCAGTTGCGTCACTATTGCTATATCGGTTTCCTTCAATTATTAATGCCCAAGATTTAAGGCTGTTATGTATGTTCACATCCAAATGTTAAAGGAAAAACCAAAAGCTCGTATTTATTCGCATGCGCGCGAAAATGCCTGTTAGCCTGACTTCCAAACGAAACCCATGCACGTTTGTAGTACTATTGTCCATAAGGTTTAAAATGTATCTACCCAGTTTGTGACAACTCACACTTCAGTTTGGATAACCGCATGTGCATATGTTGTATTCGAACTACCATTGGACACGAATGACGCCAATCCATGTGTATATGTATATAGTGCCGGAGAAGGCACTATTGTATGCGGAATAGAAACACCATAAGTATGTTCCCATTCAATTTACTAATCCAGGCCAATAAGGTGGCGTATGTGGTACGTTTGCCTATGTGATGAGTAATCTTGCATTTCAGAAGTAGATGTTGCTTGAGCTCTCCGGTGTGGATACGCCTGATGTGAATGTTGACTAAGTGCCTACCTGTCTATTACCCACTACCTCTTCCATACTGCCTTCAGAAGACAGTTGGTCGTTGCTAGTGGGGACGGGAGTGCACCGTTCTCGTGACGGTGCTAGGCTTAAAGAGTGGTTCCATGCAACTTGTGTGGAACGGGCTACGGTCCAGCCACCGCCTCGTGTACGTCTGGTGTGTATGATTTCCCAATTAGGCCGGAATGCTTCCGTTCTGCTGAAGGAGTGTGGGCCGTCTCCGTTGATGAAACGTGGCTCCCATCCGCATGCCTCCCGGTCTTATTCCTTCGGGTTTACACTGGATATGGGGTGTGTATGTGGAACTATGGGTGGTGCAGCGCACGCCACCCATGGTCCCCTTTGTAGGCGCAGGCGTCCTGTGACTGTCCCCATGGACGTCACAGTGACAGGCAAATCCGGATACGGACGCCGCCAAATCATCCAGTTTGTGGCAGTTCATACTTAAGTTTGGACAAATGCATGTACGTATGTTGCATTCGAGCTACTATTGGACACGGACGACGCCAATCCATGTATATATGTATACTAAATGAATTCGACGAGGATACTCATACCACTTTTGTACGGCCAACTTAATGCAGGGAAGCGGCACTCGGGCAAACCGAAAAGAACCTTATCAGGACATGAACGATGTGAGTTTATGACAAACTCATGTTGATTTCAGGTATTGCGAATCCAACGCAAAGTTAATCGGTGCGAATTCCGCGGTCTAATCAAGGGGGTGGTTGCCCAGGTGCTGGAGAAGACACTATTGCACGCAGAAGAGAATCGCGATGCGTACGCTCTCATTCGATTTACTAATCCAGGCCAATTAGGAGGCGTATATGGTACGTTTGCCTGCGTGATGAGTAATCTTGCATTTCAGAAGTTAGATACTGGTTGAGCTCCCCGGTGTGGCTACGCCTGATGTGAATGCTGACAAGGTACCCAGCTGTCTGATACCCTCCACCTCGATTGCTAGCTCCAGGAAACAGTCGGTTGTTGCTGCAGTGGACGGGGTGTACTGTCCTCGTGACGGCACTAGTTTTGTGTGGAACGAGCTACGGCCCAGCCACCGCCTTGTGTACTCTGATGTGCATTATTTCCCAGTTAGGCCGTAATGCTTCTGTTCTGTTTGTTGAGGGAGTGTGGGCCGTCTCGGTTGATGAAACGTGGCTCCCATCCACATGCCTCCCGGTCTTATTCCTTCGGGTTTACACCGGATATGGGGTGTGTGGGTGGTGCAGCGGAAGCCACCCATGCTCTCTCTGCAGACGCACACGTCCTGTGGCTGCCCCGTGGAGGACACATTGACAGGCAAATCCGGATGCGGAGACCGCGAATCCATCCGATTCCCAACGTTAGACATCGCTGCACGGAAAACATCTTAAGCCTGAAAACATAAAGTGATAACCTTCTGACGTTGTGAAGTTTTTCTATAACGTGCGTGGACCAACAGATGTTTTAGGACAATTAGACACCGAGATACTTGACGGTGCGTAAAATGGACGTTTTTGTCATTCAATGTATCCGGTCCGCGGGTGTCACGTTAACAGGTGAGAGACCGATAAGTTTTACTTCCTGTTAGCCTTACCCTCTTCTTCCTCTCCATCACTTTTCCTTCCCTCTTCCGTGTTTCCTTAGCTGCTTCCCCTTCATCGACTTCTTACTAGACGGTTGAGCATTCAGCCGTCTACGTGGTATTTATTTTGTGTTGCAGCTCTAAGCGACTATTTGGACACGGAAGAGCACGGGACGCCGGACCGGAGAAATATTACACACAATGGAGGAGATGCATTGCAACTTACGCGCAACCTACCAAGGCGGGGTAATGAAGCTGTTACATCAGTAGTTAAAAACATCAAGCGTAAGAGATCTGGGTGATAACAAACTCAGGAGGTCTTAGCAACCACGCTGAAGCATCGAACTCGTCTCAGTGGAAGGAGTCCTGCACCCCAAGACAGCATCGTCAGCGTATTTTCATTCAATAAATATTGGTGGTATGGGAAACTTTGGGCCTATAAAGAAAATAAGGTGGGTGAGAGGATCGCGCCTTGCAGTACGCGGCAATTGAAAGAGGCATAGAGGATCTTTTGCCGTTTAACGGAGTAACTTGCTTACGATCTGCGTACTAGTCACGCAACAAATCGCAAACATCGGAGTGGACTCCGTTCAAATTAAGTAGGTAGAACAGCGCAGATCGGTCAACACTCCTGAAGACATTTGTATGGTCAAGAGAAAAAAGCCCTACGGGTCTGCACTTTTTATCTAACACCTACTCTATTGTATGCACAAGTTACGAGGCAACATCTAGCGTAGAACGCTGAAGTCTTGAGACAAACTGGCAAACATCATCAGCATGATTAGCCATTGAAATCTACTGGACTGGTAACCCTTCGAGCAGAGAATAACCTCATCGAAGATGTCTCTGTTACGCGTTCATATTCATCCTGGCTTACTTTTTGATCGCATACCCCAGTTCGATTGCAAACCTTTTTGATATTTTTTATTGGATTTCCCATACTGTTTCAGATGAGTGTTGTCCCATCTACAGTACACCCATTTGTCAAATGGGGGCAGAACGAGACTCATGTGTTCATCTCTGTGCAGCTGAGCGACTCAGAGGTAGGTTCTCCCGGTTGTCGCTTGATATTCACCTATCCGCAAGAACGTTCAAGTTACCATAGGGGACGAGACACTAAATTTCTCTGCTATTGGTAACGGATCTCACGGTCGTGTTCCTTACTCCTTCGTGCTCGACTACTATCTTCCTGTCGTGTCTAAAGTAAGTCCATCTTGTCATCGCTTTGTGTTGTCCACATTTGTCTGAGGACTCTTACTTCATTACTCTGCAAACTCGGTCGTTATTCAATGTTAACTGTGGCACCTAGCCGATAAACGGAACAGAATGCGCACACGTAGTATGGAACCGATTTACTAAAAGCATCCTGCGTTTGCAGTGGCTAGAAAAAGCCGGAGAGAAAAACCAATGAAATAAGCATAGTAATGCAAAGTCATTCTCAACCAATCATGTGAGGACCTGCGTTTACGAATCGATACTCAAGTGCATTCGTGACATTCACGTAAACAGCAACTTCACCGCCGTCACTTCCGGTCCGTCCGTTGATGCTTAGAAATTGCTAGGCGTTTTGCATCCAGGTCGCATATTTCTGGTGGTTAAAATCAACTATAAAGGTGCCAACACGGCGCTCGTCACTGTTTTCATTCCGCTTCCACACAGCCAAGTCGGGCAATTCTCAGGCATTATCTCAAACAGTCTTCCGGTGATTCTTCCGATATATCTTGCTCGACATGAACAAGTGAAGGAGTATAACAGGAGGAAGTACTTGACCAAGGAAGTCTGTCCTTGAGTTGAAGCCTAACGATTGGCGTTGGAGTAAATCTTAATCGTAAGCTAGCTGCGTAGTGGGTATGGTTTATGGCGTCGGATAGCCTTCTAGACGTTGCCTGCGCTATCCCATCCCCTTTGAACGACAACGACAGATAAACGAATTACTTCCCAACCGAATCTGTTCTAACCCTCGCTTCCCGGCACTCCATATTTTTCCGAACAAACGTTCTGAGATAGCCATTTCTCTCAAAAAGACCATTTAAGAAATCCAGCTCTTTAGAAAGCGTGTCCTCACTACGGATCTTCCTTACCCTTCCGGTTAAACATTCAATCAAGATCCTATTCTTATTTAGTGGAGCAAAGCTGGCAAAATTCAAATATTATCCACTTCACGTCTTTCTGTGCACCCTACATTGAATCGACCCATCTAATCTGCTAATTTGGACATTAAAGAAAGACATCTTACCATGGCGTCCAGATTCGACGGTGAAATCAGCATTGTGCGCTGAGTTAAAATGGACCAAATTTTGCTCTGTGCGGCTTTGGCTGTCACACGAAATTTATCAACCACATTTCGCCCGTGGTATGGTAAACTGCCAATAACTACTCTCAGATAGTTCTACTCTATCTTGTTTATGAATACATCTGCTAGCAGCAGCGGTCCTGGTGGTGAACCAATCGCTACTCCGTCCCTCTGTCTCTGTATTACCGCAATAAATTTATTTTTTTGTGTGTGGTTAGTACACAGTATGAATAGCTGTTTCAACCGATTGTTCGAAAGGCCGACGTTTACTTGATATGATCGAACGGTATCGCATATATAGTCTATTGTCTCTTATAAAGAAACATTCATGAAGTACGACAAGACATCCATTAAAAATATCTTTATTCCGGTTAGCTCAAGGTGTCTTATGGAGTCTAAGAAGCTGAATGGATTCCGGAGACTATATCTAACTATAACTTTTCTTACCGGTTCTAAAAGTCTAGCTAGTCACTTGGCTGTTGTGTGAGTTGCACATGTCTAAGATTGGTCTAAGTGGAAGCCTTACTTTATGTACTTTCGGTAAGCCGTAAAGTCTTGGAGTCACCGTTCCCGTGGGCCGCATGTGTTCGAACGTGGCAGAGCCAATTGCCTTTTCTTGTTTCACGCGCCTTAGAAGCTTAGTAGCTGTCATTTCGGCCGCCGCTGTTTTGTCCCTCTCATTCTCCATTTTACGAAATTTTGGATGATCGTTGATGGTGATCTCCACCTTGTCAACATAGTCATCTTCCTCCACCAGAACGATCGCTGCCCCTTTATTCGGTCTAGAGAGTAGAACATTCTCGTTTTGTTTGAGTGCTTTGGGTGGCGTCTAAGTGTTCTTTCTTCAGCAAATACCTGGGTTTGCGTTTGTGCTTCAGATACTCATGAGTAACCAGGGTTGATTTAAAATCCTCGGGTGCTGATTCTGGCAAAGGTGTAAGTATATACACTTGAGAATACAAACTTTCGAACTGAACCTCTAATTCTAGTTGTCCTGAATAACTACGGGGACAGCAAAACTTCGGACCAAGTGAAAGTACCTCTAACAGTGTCTTATCTAGGTGCAACGAGGAAAAATTCTGAATGTACTTTTCCGGGTCGGATGGAAATAAAGTGTTCGCCTTAGTCGTGCCAACCTGTCGTTGTAGTGAGGCCAGGCGTTTCTCTTCTTGCTCTATTATTTGTTGCGCAAACCTCTGGAGTCACTTGCGTTTATCTGCGTCCTGTTTGTCCATCGTGACGGAATACGCACACCGGTTACGCTCCATCTCATCAACTCACGAAGTAATGGTGTCACGCTCATTCAACGTAAGTCTTTTCAACGCCACTGTATTTGGATTAATCCGCTTTCGTTGTAGTGTTTTTAGAAATTGCTTAGGCTGTTTCCAACGCAAAATGTATGCATCGAAGAATCGCACTGTTGCTATAGCTACCGCAACTTTTGTGCAAAAACGTACTGTTGATTCCTTGGAGCACAGCGGTGTACTTGGACTGTTTCAAATGTGCAAATATCCCGGGTGTAGAATGGCATATGCAACGTTTAGAAGGCTATCCGACGCCATAAACCATACCCACTACGTAGCTAGCTTACGATTAAGATTTACTCCAACGCCAATTGTTAGGCTTCAACTCAAGGACAGACTTCCTTGGTCAAGTACTTCCTCCTGTGTATACTCCTTCACTTGTTCATGTCGAGCAAGATATATCGGAAGAATCACCAGAAGACTGTTTGAGAGAATCCCTGAGAATTGCACGGATTTGACTGTGTGGAAGTGGAACGAAAACAGTGACGAGCGCCGTGTTGGTATCGTTATAGTTGATTTTTACCACCAAATCAACACCTACCGATGTTTTTGGCCCATCTATCGCATATTTCTCGTCATCCAATCGGAAAGGAACTCAGTATTCCTCTTCTTTATGTAGTGCACCGGGATACAGATAAAGTCATTCTGTGTTTTTACCTTCAGCCCTTCATAATGGCCTCAGTTGAAAACTTGTCTAGCTGTCTTGACGGCAAGGATTGTGGGTTTCTACTCCTGTCTGACATTTTAGAGTACTCAGTAATTGGTATATCCTCGAATTTCATTTATCTCCCCTTAAGCACGCTTTCATAAAATCCTAATCTTGCCTTTCTCCCTGTTGTTTGGTTTGGAACACTAAATTATGCTTACTATGCCAGAATTATCTTGAAATCCTCTCCCCATTCTCACGTATTACAACTCTTTCTAACCCCATCGTTTTGGTTCACTTTTACTAAACCTTTGTTTTTAGTTTACCTACAGCGTTTTCATCTCCTGTCGAGATTAAGACCGATACTTCATATTGAGTGCCAACCAATTGCATGGCTCAGGGTTGCGTTCTGTTATTTATTGTCAACTGGCTGGGTTCACAAGTTAGTCACGTCCATTCATAACTAATGACACGGCTTATGTCATGCACAACCCCTTAGTTACTCTCTACCGCGGGTCTTTTCTGACGTGGTAGTTGTGATTCTTTGAGGTGCATGCACCCAACCTTGCCTCATCACTTCTCTTACTTGGTTCGTCTACGTTTAGTCCCCGTCTCACCACCTGAGACCTCATGTGGGGCCTGTCAGCGGATTCCCTCTGAAACACTTAGTACGCTGATATCTCTTCCTGTTAACTGCACTATTAGTGATGCCCCTCTCCGTATTGCAACAATTTCTAACCTAACCATGTTCTGCATTCCTCACCGCTCAGAGTTCGCCTTGAGTCTCTCTTATTGTGCAAGTAACCATGACACCAAATGCACACCGATGGGGCGGGTTCATAATCCTTTCCTGAAATAACCCGTGATTGCACTCCTTCTATATCCACTTCAGCAAAGCCGCTACACGATTACTGGTCGAGCGGTAATATTCAAATTACGCAAAGAATTTAAAGAAACATGGCCACGTCTCAACTGCCAACCGGAGCGTCTACCGTGGACGCGGCTGGATTTCGACTTGTATCAATTTGACGCTTCAGACTTGGAAGGTAGCGAACCAGAAACGGGAAACGTTGACTTGAAGGTGATTCAGCCTTCAAAGGAAGAACGGGTGAGTGTTTTTGCCACAATACATATTATGCTTACTGGTATCCCAGCAACCAATGTTTCTTTTGCGGTACTGGCAAATGTGGTTGTTTCGTCCCAAAGATGTTTTTACCGACATGTTACCAAATCATACGGTTGATGTTAAACGGGTCTGATTTGTCTCAGCGACTAACCATTGTGAAACTGCGATAAAAATTATCACGATGCGGTACCTTAAAACAAAAATAACTGTCAGCTGTCGTGTCCATCTTCAAAAGTGTCAGCGCACTTTGTGCGAAAATCATCGGGCATTGGGCTTATTTCTATCGCTTCCAAACTTCTCATGGACTTACTTCATGTATGACTGACTGATCTCCGTGAGCACCGAGTCACTGAAAGGCTGGCTTTCGCCCTGATCATAGTTGCATCGATCACATATTTACTCTTTGTCAAGTCAGAGCAATGACAAACTTATAGACGACCGACAATGGTGGTTTTGTTTGACTTGAAGCCACCTTCGACTCTGTTGACCGCACCAGCTTGTGGCACTGCTTATCCATAAAGAGGGTGCCAGATAAACTCCTTACTTTTCTAAGCTCCCTCTACCGTGATTCCCGAGGCGCTGTAAGGGTCTACGGAAAGCTATCCGGGAGACTCAGGCTGGTGCTTACCTAGATAGGCGCTCCTTGTTTGTCCACACCAGTGGTTGGGAACCAGCGCAGTCGCGCAGTCAGTAGCAGTCCAATGTTCGGTTTCTTGCATCTAGCTGTTGCTTTTCATTCCATCCTTATCATTTTAGTGCACCTCATTCTGGATTCTATTTTCTTCACATCCTACTTGCATTCAACCTCATCTTTTTGAAAATGTAGTACGCTGCTCCAGGACTGGCAGGTGCCTGAACCCGCGCTCACCATTGCTGGACATGTTCTGGAGCAAGTCCCTTGCTGTACTTATCTAGGGAGTTGCATCACGGCTGGTGGCGGTGTTGGAGATGAAGTCTCACAACGGATTGCGAAGGTACGCCTTGCATACATCAAACTGAGACACCTAAGGATTCATCGTGATGTCAGTCCCAAGCTCAAGGGCAGGGTGTACAATGCTTCCATCCGGGCAGTACTATTGTACGGCTGTGAGACTTGGCCCATTCGTTCGGAAAACATAAAGCGGTTGTTAGTCTTCGATGATCGCTGTCTACGAAGGATTGCTCGGGTGTGGTGGCAACATCACGTAAGCAACGCAGAGGTCCGAGACCGAGTGTTTGGAGCGAGTAGTGTCAGTCTTCAGAACGGTATTATCCGCATGCGCTGTCTCGGGCACATTTTGCGCATGCTAGCCCATCGCCTTCCACGTCGAGCGCTATTTGCACTCCCAGGGTGCAGTTGGAAAAAGTGCCGCGTTGGACAGTTAACAACGTGAAGAAGGAGCGTGAAGAAGGCAACCTCAAGTTTGGCGACAGTCGGACCAGTCCGTCTTCCAGGTTAAGGACCACGAGATGGTAAATCTCAGTGGTTGGAAACATTAGACGTCATGGCCCGCAACAGACATCAGTGGCGTCAATGTTGTTCTGCCATTATATCCCCCTTTCACACACACCAAAAAACACAGAACACAAAACAACCAAATCAAACTGGCATGTGTTAAACCAAAAAAATCGTTCTCCATTGTTTATCGCATTTCGTGTTTTGTCTTCCCCGTCTTTTTTCTCCTGCCATGATTCTGATGGCACAATGTCTGTTAAAAGACTGTGAATGTACATATATATAACCCCATTTTCTTACCGTTTCTACATTTTTTTATTCTAGCGCCGAGAGTCGTGACAGCTTGTTTCACTGCACTTTGCTGCCCGGCGCATCTTGGTTATCCAACTGAACTGAAGTGGAAAATTCCCATTGTGAAGTTAGAAAAGCGATTGCACACCGCCTAGCTCGTTGTCACTTGCAAAACAAATGACTGCCTTTAAAGTACAGTGCTACAACTTAAGAAATCAGGATAAACTAGCTTGCGTGCAATAATTCATCTTCAGATTTGTGTAGTTATTCGCAAAGTAAATGTGTCGACCGTCACTCACGTTGTTGATTACGAAACGAGTTAATTTGACGCTTATAATCGCTATCATCAACCTGAACATGGTCATGGGTCACTCTCCGTTTGAGCCAAGCCAATCACAAACTTCGAGTGCACCTTTTCTGGATTCATACTGCCGACTCACACAGCCGGATCGCAACGGCCACCTCTATCTGCAGATTGAAGGCCCTCACTTCTGAGCTGGCCTCGGTTGGAGCGTCTCGGCTCCCTGCCTGGGGTCCAAAAGACGATGAACTGGTTTGGTTGCACACACTTGCTGATATGGCTAGGAGCCGACCTCAATGGCGTTCGTGCTGTGAGTTTCTTTGTCCAACCCCATCCCTCTTAGCCTCCCCCTCCAACCACGATCTCATTATTTAGCTTTACATAATTTCGCATAGTATTTTTTTGACGCACAGTAGCCGGCTGGTAGCTTACCGGAACGATGCCCATCCGTTACCGGTAGCTCAGCCGGCTTGCACCAGTTGCATTTTTTCTCCTTTTTTTCTGTATTGTGACACAGTAGCTGAGGTGTTTCCCACCTCTAGCTAACGTGTATGATGTATGTATGATCTGCGGATCGGAGCTTGATAGAAAGTTTTGAACGGGTCAGCCAACTTAGTGATGTGTACTGCGCCGACGAGATGGGTGGCTTTTGAGGAGTTGTGTGTTTTCTTCTGCTTCCAATTCCAAGTCATACCGCACGGCGTTGTTTCACTCTCTCGGAAAGGCGCCTGTCATACAGACAAAGTATCCGGCTTCCTAGGAATAGGAGAATGAGTGGACGCACATTGGTTTCGTACGGACAACCGATGATCCCACGAGTTTAATGTCGCAATCATGGTACTGGGAACTTTTTCCACTGGCATGGTGCACCCTGGCGTGCGTGTGCGAAACACTCGGAGTTAGAAGTCCTGCCATAATTTCACCATTGCACTGCTGTTGTACGAATATTGACTTCTATTTCATCATCAAATCTACCGGATCCCACTTGTTTTGCTCCCTATTGGCTTTACTACGACTATGTGCAGCCATGTTCTTTCATTGTCAGGCGTGTGCAGTGTCATTCAAACAGTTTTTCCGTTAAACCAACCCGACTGTGTATCAATGTTGGTTTAAACTTTGGGGGCACAAAGCTGCAGCAATTAGTTTACTATTTGTTCCACGTGCCTTTCTTTTGCATTCCTCCTTTGTCTCGATCTTCCAGGGAAGCATTTCTTTTCTCAAACTTCGCTGCAACTTCCGGTACCGACTAGAGACTTTCGGGAATCCGTCCGGAGTATACAAGCTCTACTTTCTTTTCTGTTTTTCGATGTTGTGCGTGAATTGATCACAAGCGATTCTTGTCTGTTTCTTCTAAATGTTACGTTTTTCATGGGATACGCCATAGATCACAGCCATTTCCTGGGGTTACTTCGGGCCTCCGTACAAGTTCCACTAGATGTATCAACGGGAATCATCTGTAGCATTCATCCAAATCCATTTTCTAGTTGTAGCAACCCTACAACCTGGGAGTAGCAGCACGTGAGTTCGCTTGACCAGTCGCCAACCCGACTACGTGACGCTTACACAGTGCGTGACATTCGGCACAGCTCATCGAGAGCTAACGACAGCTTCGGGAGCGTCCTCGTGTCTAGCAACTTTCAGTATGATTGTGCGATCAACAATATAGGACTATCTGACTTGAAACCTACTGCTAATAACCCCATCAATAACCCCCCTACTCATGAGTTTCTCGAATTATTTGCACTATCAGCTTCTAATGGCTATGTCATATGGCTTCTGTTAGTGGAAGCCGTGATCCTTGGGCCAGACACCGTCTTCTAAAACGTTCATAACTTGCCTGGCAGTGGGGCGAAACAGCCGTCTGTTGTCTTCCAGAGGACTGTCGGAGTTGGACACTGTGCAAGGATCCCTTAACTAATTTTGTCAAGTAACCCCTACTCATCGGTACAAGCAGAACCACCTTATTTGCAATGTAACCTTTATATTTGATTTGAGGGACGTGTTGGACAGGACTACGCATCAGATTTTGTCAGCGTGAACATAACAAATTGAACCAACCCGACGCGTTATACGTTTCAGCATATCTCAAAGTGCATGATACTGCTAAAGGGCTGGGCCAACTTGCCGCCAGTTCTTACTGTTATCGAACGACTACCAGATGTGTGTGTTTGAATCCTTCAGAAAGTCGTGTCATATTAACTGGTTGCATCATCAACACGGCTACTAAACTGGTCATTGTGTCCCGTGGAGTTTTTCAAAGCGACGAGACCTCAGCTGCAGGATGTGTTCAACGCTGCTGTAGGTCGAATGTCGCCCAGCACTGATGCTATTACTACTACTACTACTCGCCTTCGTTATGCTCCCTGCTTTCGGACAACTACTCACATCTGTAGTGAGAACATCAAATAATACTTAAATCCGGTGTTAGTACCTTGGAAGAAGTCCTTCGATTCTGTAGCAGAATCATTCTTAACCTCAAACTGTCTACTTTGTCCGAATCAAGCTCTTCGTATGCCAATTGTCCGCCCATGTTCCCTTGCGTTATTTGTGGTTGCTTCAGTGAATTGCTTGAAGCCACATTGCAACCGTCCGTTAATGTGACAAACTGGTATGGGAATACTAACTCCGTCTTGACGGAGTGTCTTTCTCTTCCATCTGGCCATAAACTTGTACATTTCGTTTTCCTTCACTGCATTTGTCTGTTAACCCCGCTGTTATTTCACTTACTCTTCTGATCATGACATGAATCATGTCGTCTCTGTGCTGCGTTTATTATCACTTAATCTTCAAACAGCTGAATCGCTAGCATCCTGTCTCGGTTTGGGATTAAGCAGTATGATATTTCACGTGCGTTTACTCGTCTACTGCGACGCAGACAGTGGCAAGTTAACTCAACTCTAGTTGTGTCTTCCTTCTTCAGCAATGGACTTCTCATTGTTTGCGCCCATTTCCCCTGGATGGAGAACATCGTTAAACATTAAGGCACTTTTCGTATGTTTGTGCTCAGCATGGGTGATATATATCTAGTCAGTGTTTTGTAATAAAGCGAGGAATGGGTTTCCGTCGAAATCGGGTAGCTCGTTAGAGACGATAGATCCGTGCAGTCCTACCTCTTTGTTCCACTCAGTTCCTTCACGGGCAGTTGCCCTTCACTTTAATTGTACGGGGTGCTCAAGGGTGGTCCACGCCAATGAGTGGAGACGGTATCAGACATGACGCAGTCACGAAGTCAGTGGCGTTCCTGCATTCAGCTTCTTTCATCTGGTTGTTAATTTCGTTCCAGTCTGATTAGTTTAACGCATTTCCTTCTTGCTTCTCTTTTTATACATTCTGTTTGCACCCAACTCCGCTATCCTACCGGTCTTATTTATTGCTATCTTTGCGATGTATGTTGTGGCAACTGGATCCACCGCACTTCGGTGTTCGGATCATGGTTGTTCCACTGAACTGAACTTAATTGTCTACATATATTACCTATGCTATATTTCTCGATAAAACGAAATGCCGCTTTCATGGTATTGCGGGAACGTCTGTTGCTAACGCAAAGATGCGCACTGTTGACGAGGACTCCAGTGCTCGCACGCGCAGTCGAATGGCTACGCCTCATGGCACTCCCACGCGACTCCTGAGTCATGACGCAGCAGAGTTTTGCGAACAATATCGTCTGGTCGTGTGTCAGTTTAGCTTAAAAACAATCAAGCCATAACTGCCTTTACTTAGCATTCGCGTTATAATTTTATTTCTACAAACTGATTATTCAAGCCATTCAACGCGGTCACCAGTCACACATAGGCGAACACAGATAGACACTTTAGATTTCCTGGGCACATGACAAAACTAATTATCTTCACAGAACTTTACAATCCTGCTTCAAACGAATGGGCGAATCGTCAGGCCATTGCACTCCCGTTAGAAAATCGCTATTTTGTGGCAATGGTCCCACTGTTTGATGACAATTTTTTATGATTTAACCTCTGGAAATTTTAAAATTCGTTAAGTCTTGTTGGAAACTCCTTTAGCCCCGTTTTCACTTACTGATAAACACATCTCCGCATTGTCTTGACTTTTCGCGCCTAGCCATCCAGTCACTGCATCCCTTAGATGTGCTTATTCTTCATCTGCATTGAGATTACGTCTTATTAACATGTCGTTTGACCTGTACAATCTCCCTTCTCCGTATGTTTTTTCTTACAATTCGTTTTCATGCCCCAGTGCGCTATGCATAACCACTCGGTTATCTCATTGTTCTATTTCTCTTAGGAGCTTCATAATGCTGAGATGAAAAAATTGGAATATGAGGAGAAATGGGAGGCCTTCTTAAAAAGTAAGAACATATTTGACTGGGGTCCCTGTTTGCTAACTGCGTTCCCCGTCTGGGTGTCTGTACATACCGTTTTACACACCTGTTTGACTGGTCTGCGTTATAAAATGAGGCGAAGTGCTCGCCATCCTCTATCTCATCACCTCCATAGCCAGCCTTATGCAGGCGCCACGTACTGGCACTTCTCTCTCTTACTTCTGTGGAGAGGAGGCGGCGCGAACAAGTTACGTATTAGGGAACGAACGTATACATGCTATAACATTTCTAACGTAGTGCAGTCAAACTCATCTGCGTACATCATTCGTGGTGCCATTGATTCCACGCTACGCGTTGTACTACTGACTCAGCTTTCAGTGACAACACGGTGTAGGTTCAACGCTCCAGCGCCATCTGTTTTCAGGACTAGTTTAATCATGCGCTAGGCGCCCGTCGTCTTCGGTGATCCATTATTCACTGAGTTCATCGCGCCTGCTCTTTTCGCCCTCCTATTCATTAGTAGTGCACCACGCTCCTCCTGCCCCCCTTCGCCTAAAGTCTCTGCAGCCGTCGACCTCGCACTCAGTCTCTCTGATCTTCGGGACTGCTTCATGTATGCAGTACTTTCCTCTCCTCGCTCGTACCACTTCCACAATTCACTAGCGTGAACTCACCGCTTATCTCCCTGTCGATTGATGGCGTTTACGGGGCCTCGTCGATCGATTACGTCATATGGTCCCTTCCACTTCAGGAGGTTTCCTCTCGCCTGAGCCACATGCGGTCGTGCGTTGGCGATCTCTGTACTTTACCTTTGAACCGATTGGAAAATCTCCGGAAGGTTTTCTCACGTTGACCCGGGATTTCTCCATCATCCCCAACTGGGCTGCCTTCAGGTTTCGGTTCGCTACCTTGCTGTTGTTCCGTGCTTCCCTCAGCGGTAACTGGCAGGTCGGCCACATTTCCACCTCGAGATCCACAGGAATACAGGGCGCGCGGCCGTACGTTAGCTGAAATGGGGATTGCCTCTTGCTTGCTTGCTTGCTTCGACGTCCGGTGAGCTAGCAAGAGTAGTGATAGAGCTTCTTCCCAATCTCCCCCTTTTGCTGCCAGCCATTCTTTAGTTGTCCTATTATTCCCCTTCGTCAATCCATTTGTCTGGGGATGATAGGGAGTGGTTCGTATATTCTTGGTGTGCAGTTTCTCCACGATATGTCCAGAACTCGTCACTTTCAAAGCATGGGCCCTGGTCCGTCAGTATGGCCTTCGGAATTCCGTGGTCCGCTATTACGTGCCTCATCACCGCATGTGTTATAGTGCTAGCCCCCTGATCCGGAATTGCCGCGGTTTCAATCCAGCTGGTAAAGTGCTCAGACATCACGATTACGTATTGATCGCCTCGTCTCGTTAACAGGAACGGCACCATCACGTCGATTGACCACAACTCATCAATCTCGGACACTGGAATCGCGAGCATAGGCTGTGGTGTTCATCGATTGTCGCCCTTCAAGAGCTGACACTGCCGATACGATAACATGTGAGTCGACGTCTTCTTCAATATCCGATCAGTAAGCTCGCTGCCTAAGCAAATCATGTTCTGTTGCATCCGGTATGGGCTATCTTGTGACAAGAGACCACCAAGTTTTTCCGCAACTTCGGTGGGATCACCGGCACCGGCGTAGCGCCTTGCCCTTGCGTCCACATCGGAATTCCGGCTTCGTTGACTTGCAGGTTTTTCAGGTCCTGCCCGAACGACCCGAATTGTTTGCTTTGGCTTTTGGTTGTCACAGTTTGGTTCATTATTCGTGCTGTTATCAGCCTGTTCAGGAGCCCATCCTTTCGTTGCTCAGCTGCCAACCTCCCCGGATCCTGCTCCAGCACCAAACCACTGACACCGAAGGCAACGTTCGGCAAATCGTCATCACTCGTCAGGCGCGATAAAATATCTGCCGTTCTGTTGTCCCTCCCTGATATGTGGTTTATCCTGAAGTCGTATTCTTGTAAGCACAGCAGCCACCTAGCTAACTTGCCTCTAGCGTCTTTGGAGGACATAATCCATTCCGATGTGATCCGTTTCGACGTGAAAGCTTTGACCCAGTAAGTACGCCCGCCATTTGTCCAACGCCCAAACTATTGTCAGACACTTCTTCTCTACTGTTGCCTACTTGCGTTCTGATGGCGTTAAAATTCTTCTAGCGTATTCAATCGTCCCCAGGTTTTGCTTCATTACCGCACTGATTCCGACGTCAATTGCGTCTGTGGTCACCGTGAACCTATCTCCGTCGACAGTCAATTTCAACGTAAGATCTTGTCTTCCCATTTCTTTCTAAATGTCGTCAAACGCTCGCTGTGCTTCTAGCATCCACGTTCATTTCTTCCCCTCTTAACAGGTCGTACAAAGATCAGGCCAAACTGTTAAAATTCCTGGCGAATTTACTGTAGTATCCGGCGCGGCTCAAAAATGTCCTAAGACTGCGCTTCGACGTCGGAACTGGGGTATCTCGAAGTGTCAGTATTTTCTCTGGCAACGACTTCAGCTCACCCTGACCCTCCTTGTGACTAAGCTGTGTCACGGACATTTTCCAGACTTGAGATTTAGGACCATTTACCCGTAATCTCGACTGCTGGATCCTTTGCAACATTGCTTCCAAATGACGATAGTGTTCTGCTTCCGATTCACTGTATATCACTATGTCATCTCCATACACGGCCACCTTCTCTAACCTATCCAGCAGGCGGAGCATCAAACGCCGGAAAGTGAACAGGGCACTAGATAATCCAAACGGCATCCTTTTAAATTGGTACTGCTTCTTTCCAATCGTAAACGCGGTCTTCTCGCGGTCCTCCTGTTTGATTGCTAGCTGTCAGTAGCCAGATATCAAATGCAGTACCGCGAATACCTTTGAATTCTACAGTGATTGATGACACCGGGACAAAACGACTCGACGAGATTTCGTTCAAACTTCTGAACTCCACTCCGTTGGTCTTCTTCACCAAAACGACTGGGGCGTTATACGGGCTTTGAGCCTCCTCGATTACACCCGCATACAACATCTCATGAACCTGCCTTTTGACCTCAGCCTCCAGGTGGATTGGTATTCTTCTGGGTCCAAGAGGCCGACACGGCTGCGGCAAAAGCACAATTGTGTGTTTGAGCCGAAGGGGCTGTTATCGTCTGTGAAAATAAGGTCGTATTTGCCGACAAGCGATTGCAGGGCCATACTAGTGTGTAAAACAGCAACGACTGTGCACGCTCGGGTGGATCATCCTTAACCAACGAAGGGTATAGACCCAGATTTCGTCATAAGCTTTCCTCGTTTCAACTCGACGATGGCTTCATTGGCTTGGAGAAAGTCTGCCCTCAGAATGGTCTGTTTCGCGTCTGCCTACACGACGAAGAGATGTTTGACTTTATGACTCCAGATACGTACCACGTGCTCCGCCGTACCATTTATGCGTATACCGTAACCACCGACCGTCTTCACCACTATGGAACACGATTGGGTTTTCACTCCAGCTCGATGGTTGATCAGTGAGATTGCGGCTCCTGTATCGAATAAACACCTCTATGTTGTTCCATTCACCCCTAATATCGCTTCAATCACATACGTTCAGGGCCCCGAGTATGCACTCTCCAACGCTAAAACCATACTGTTTGTAACTATATTTGGTACAAAGCGTGTACTGCGCCGTGATGGGCATTGCCGCTTCCAGTGTCCCAGTTTCCCACAAAAGAAGCATCATCCAGGTTGCCGCGTCCTCTGACGGGTAACTCGAAGTGCTCCAATGTCTTGCGTAATCCGCTCCAACCCCTCTTCCAACTTGTCCAATCGCTCGCTATCTTTTCGGTCTTCGATTCGCGATACTGCCGCTGGCTCCTGTACCAACTCACTTGTCACTCGAGCAATTTCCACCACGCCCGTTCTCTGGGTGGCGTTCACAATCCGCAATCGATCCGCCATCGTTGGACGTAGGCCGTCCAGAAACTGCTCCACTAACAGTTGTTGCCTTGATGCGTCATCCAAATCTGGCAGCGCCCGATCCAACAAACTACCGAGATGGACCGCAAACACGACTGGATCCGCTCCTAGCCCAAGCCGGGCCGCCTTGAATCGTCTCATCGCATCCTGGCGCCCGGTCGGACTGTCGAGCTCTTCAACCAGCGCTTCGTTCGTGACGGCCCATTCCGACTTGAATGGCTCTGTTCTTGCCGCCTCCAGAATCGCCTTAACCCATCTTTTGAGTAGACTCCGAAGCGCAACCAGTTTCACCAGATCCTGCTTCATTCCGACTGCTTCCGGGACATTTTGAATTCATCCAGGAACCTCCGTACATCGCTATCTTCAAACGGTTTTGGCCACGGGATCCTCCACGTCCGGCTGATCACGGCACCATACGAACGTCTACATGGTATATCATTTCTAACATAGTGCAGTCGGACTCATCTGCGTACATCATTCATGTTTCCACTTGACTCCACGCGGCGCCTTGTGCTACCGACTCAGCTTCCGGTTCAGTGCCATCTGTTTTCAAGTAGTTGAATCATGCACTACGCGCCCGTCGTCTTCGGTGATCCATTATTCGGTGAGTTCATCGCGTCTGCTCATTTCATCCTCCTGCTAATCGTAGTGCACCACACTCCCACTATAGAGTGGGAGATGATTTTTCTAATATCTACTGGTTGACCGGTTTCGGAGCCTGATTGACCAAAGCAGATGTTCATGATCAGATCGCTTGCGCTCTACTACCATCCTGTGGGCACCAACCCCTGCCTTCTGGGCCAGTATAAGGCGGCAGTTACGACGCGTCCCCACTGGAACTTTCACTGCCAACTGTGCTCCGACACCCTTGCATACCTTAACTGGGCAGTCCGGCAGTATGGTGCCAGTTGTGAGCTGTGCTGTGGATTTTTGAGCCAGACACAAGGTGGCCCTACCTGAAGGCGAGACGACGCAAGCTGACTCACCTTAGCTTTCTGCCACCGCCAAAGCAACTATTGTTCCCTTGGAGCCTTATAAACACTTAAATCC